ACCCTGAGCCGTCCTAAACGTTTAGGGTTTAGGGTTTAGGGTTTAGGCTTGTATGGGCTTCCCCTTATCCGCAGCCCTCTAGGACCGTAGACAGCCCGACAGTGCTATCTCCCGACGGGGTCTAGGGTTTAGGGTTTATAGGGTTTAGAGCAAGCATTTTGTACGCGTCGGGTTTAGGGGTTCCCTAAATGGTAAACTGCGACAGCCAGAAGAAAGACACGTCAACGTCTTTGGAAGACGTGTCCAGAGTTCCGGGCTTTAGAAACCCTTAACCCTAAACATCTCTAAACCCCTAAACCCTGAACCCCAGCACCGGCTCAAAAATGCCGCAGGAAGGGGTTCTGGTGTTGTGCCTCGAACGTTCGGAATGCCTGATGCGCCACACCCCAAACTGAAGAACATGCCTAAACCCCTAACCCACAAAACCCTAAACCCTAAACCCCGAAACCCTTAAACCCCTAAACCCAAAAACCTCTCAACCCTAAACCCCTAACCCAAAACCATAAAGGCGAAGACCCGAAAACCTTAACCCAAAACCATACAGCCGAAGACCCGAAACCCCGCATCTCCGCATGCGAAGCTAGAACCACCATGGCCCAACACCCAAACACCATGTCATACCCAGAGAGCCCAGTACCCCTTGTTTAGGGCTTACCGGTTTCGGGCTTAATTGAGGAAAGCCCAGTAATGTAGGGGCCTTCATAATTTTAATTGGGTTGAGGGGGCTCCTTATTACATTTATAGTATAATATACCCCCCAAAACCTATTCTAATCATTGATTAAGGCCCCTATATTACCCCTTGCTTACTTGAGGGATGTGTACCTGAAATCAGAGCATTCGGGTTCAGCGCTTAGGGTTCAAACTTCCATGATCTAGAGGATATCCCATAGTCCGCGCAGTCCTGCACGGTCAGGCACCGCGCTGGTGACTCCTCGACACCGACGGTTTCTTAGCAGCTCAACCTAGACGCCCGAAGCCCTAAACTCAAGACCCTAAACTCTACACACCAAACTTTTCAAACTCTAAACCCTAAACCCTAAACTCTAAATCCCAAACTTTTCACGCTCTAAACCCTAAACTCTGAACCCCAAACTTTTCAAACTATAAACACCCTGAACCCTGCAAACTAAACCCCAAGCTTTTCAACTCTAAACCCTAAACCCTATAAACTCTAAACCGCGAACCTTCCAAACTCTAAACCCCAAACCCTAACACTAAACTTCCTAACTCTAGGGCTGAAAGCTTAAGGCATCTAGGCTTTTCAAAGGGGGTCAGGACTTAGGATCTTAGTAGGGTTCAGGGTTTAGGCGTTTAGGGTTTGGGGTTTAGGGTCGTAGCGTCAGAGGTGGGTTCTGAGGAACAGCGTTTAGCATGTAGTGTTGAGTTTCTGGGGTCAGCGTCATCAGCTCACCCAGCTAGGTTCCAATGATCATTTTCAGCTCATCTTCGTCCTTATCATCGTCAGCAACAGAACTCTTAGTATTCCGTTCAAGGTCACTCTCGATTTGAGGACTAAACCCTAAACTCAATACCATCTCCCAAACCCTATAAACCCTAAACCCTACACCCCCAAACCCTATAAAAATCACTGTCCGCAAGCTAGGGGCCGTGACGGAAAGCCTGGCAGAAGCCGAACCGGGCTCAAGGTAGCGGCCTTAAAAATTAGAATAGGGTTGGGGGGTATTATACTACAATTATAATAAGGAGCCCCAAAAATCCTATTCTAATTATCAATGCCCCTACATTAAGGTTTCAGAGCCCAGGGTCCCTCAACATCCCAGCCTTGCATCGACACATGAAAACAATACTTTATAGGGTTCAGGAACCCTAAACCCTAAACCCTAAACCCTAAACCCTAAACCCTAAACCCTAAACCCTAAACCGGGTTTAGGGTTTACCTGGGCCCCACAGGGTTTCGGTACTTTGCAAAAGCAAGCCTAAAGCCTAAGGTGAAGAGGGGCTTCGGGTTCGGTTGCGCTCTGACCGCGTGCGAAATGCCCACGTGCGAGAAATCTCGCAACATCCAACATGATCACACCAGAGTTTAAGGGTTTAGGGTTTAGGGTTTAGGGTTTAGGGTTTAGGGTTTAGGTAAGGTTTAGGGTGAACTCAGAGTAACGGTCTGGTTTGGTTATGGTCTTGGGTCTTAGGGCAGGGTTTAGGGCCAGTTGTTCAGAGCTTTCTCGCGGGTTTACAGTATGTAGCATTTAGGGTTGTAGAAGTTACCGTAAGAAAATCTTCATGATAAGCAGCAATCGTCATAGCCAGCACACCACTAGCATCAGTGAGAAACATACTTGTTTCTATTGTTGTTAACATTGCTCTTGTTATCATGATTTCCTCTATGGTTACTGTTATATTTATTATAAACCCTACACCCTAAACCCTAACCCTATAAACCCTAAACCCCTAAACCCTAAACCCTAACCCCCTAAGCCTAAATAAACCCTAAGACCTCCGGTGCGGCAGCGGTTTGCGGTGTGGATTTGTCCACTCAGCAAG